TAAATCCCCAAACCCTAAGAACGCCTATCAACCCGCAAGACGGAACCCTAAACCCAAGGTCCGAACGCTGGCCCCGAACATTTTCCCCACCGGTTTCCTGGGTCCTACTTGCGCGTCCCTAGTTGGACTTCTAAGGTTTTATTGTGTATGTAATAAGCATATGACTGTATCTATATACCTAACTTAAATACGTGTATATCTATTATTACATGTTCCTACAGTGGGAAGCCGCGCCAGCCGAGGCGGGCGCGCGCTAGCGTTTACAACTATGGTCCCTTTTTGGATCCCCATTATAATACGGCCCCTAATATTTAGGGTAGCCAAAAAGGACCATAATTTTGACAACCACCCATATAGAAGGGCTTTAGGGCTTCAGGGCTCCTAGAATTTTGGCTTCAGGGCTTTAGGGTTATAGGGCGTTAGGGTTTAGAGTTTAAGGTTTCAGGGTTTAGGGTACTTGGAGGGTCAGACTTCGTGAGTAAGTTAAGAATAAGGATAGCTGGGGCTGCTATTTGGCCTGGCTGTAGAAAAAAGTCTGGGAGAAAGTGTAAACTACTTAGAACTGAGCTTGTAACGTATAACCCAATTAGGACCATTTTCGGGATCCTGGCCACCCGGGGCGTGTACAATTGGGTTATATACAAGTGCGCAAATAACTAGGTTATGATTACCCATGGATGTCCAGGTAGAAAGGGGTGCGTCTTGCGGGCATGCCACTCTGACAGACTGGTGCTACGTAACCCACCCTAAACCCTGAACCCTAAAACACTGCCCGGATCCCAAAACCCCACACCCTGGGCAATGCTTGTTTCACATGTGCACAACCCAACATCAACCACACCTCTACTCTCAGAGGGGATGGAGGTACCCATTGGGGCGATGTTACGGTTTTGGGGTGTTTTCTTGTGAGAATGGAAAGAAAATGGAAACTACTAAAGCTCAACCGCCAAACCCTGAAATGCCAAAACCTTAAACCCTGGAACCTCAACCCCCCAAAACCGTGAAATCCCAAAACCCTGCCGAATCCTGAAACCCCAAAACCATACACATTGTGTCGGCCCACCGACACCATCAAAGGGTTCTTCTCAGTCACGCTCCTGAGTCCCAGTCTTGTCGAGGGTCTAAGGCTTAAAATTTGATAGGGTTTTGAGTCTAAGCCCCTAAACCCCTAAACCCTAAACCACCAAACCCTAAACCCCGAAACCCCCAAACCCTAAACTTTAGGGTTGAGGCTTTAGGGTGTAGGGTTTGCTGCTTAAGCTTTAGGATTTGGGGTTTAGGGTTTGGGGCTTTGGGCTGCGGGTTTCGGCGAAAATGCTTTAGAAGCAGCACTTAGGAGGTCAAGCATAAGGTAGTGTGAGCATTTGGGTAACCCCAACACCTGTAGTAAGGACCCTCTGACTATCTAACGACGAGCTGTTTGGGGGGCTGGGATTACCAACGTCCTCTTCTCGTAAGGGCTTTGGGTCCTGCTTCAGGGCCTCAAAAAAACTCAGCGCGATGAAGAAGGCCTAAGCCGGGCCCCAATCCTTAAACCCCTCAGACGCTGACAGTCCCTAGCGAGGCCGATAGTGTACCCACCACGATTTACCTGGCAGGTTATCAAGTTTGTGTCCCCGTTACTATACCCTCCCCTGGTATGTAGGATACCCAAAAAGGAACCATCAGTCTGACTACCTGCAACCTGCTGTAGGAGGCTGTTTGTGTTGGGGGGCCAGGCCTCCACAAAGCCTACAAGCATGCCCGAACTAAGGTACCCTTGAGGGGGTGTGGTTTGGCGATAAAAGGTTTAGGGATTGAGGACATGATAAAGGGTTCTCCTGTGGGATTCTGTATGGATGATTTTGGGAAGCTCCCATATGAGCTATAATCTAAACTCCGTAAAGGGGGGTTAATACAGGAGACGGTTATTGGGGTTTCTAGGGGGGCAACCCTGAACCCCACTTGGACACCCCGATCTCAATCCTAAAAGCCAAAAGCCTACACCCTGCAAAAACCGTCAAAGCCTGAAACCTAAAGCCTACACCCCAAAAAAGGAAACCCTAGACGGTTGGATCCTGAAATCCTTCAACCTGTAACCCCTCACCCCAGTTTAGGGTTCAGGGTGTAGGGTACACTAATAAACGAATCTATAACACCACAATTGCCTACACCAAGTTCATTCGAGTGTCTTCCGCTGCCCTAAGCGTTTTGCAATGAGCCCCACCTGGGTTCGCATCCCCGTGTCCGTCACCTGCGCAAAGGCTTAGGGGTTAGGGTTTAGGGGATATGTAAGGAATATATAGGGGTCATGTAGAGGCTGTATGAGGGTTATAAAGCCGAGAAAGGGGGACTATATTCCCACGAGGCTCTAAGTCGATCCTCACATAAAGCCTGGGACACAGCGCAGCCTCCGTGCCGCTGTAAAGCATGTTGGACCGGAAGGGGGCTTCTGCATCCTCCCAAAGTCAGAGGTCTATACAGTAATGGGGTCCCCCTATCCTGGCAAACTACCACGTACAATCCCTCAAATAACCCTTACACACAAGTTGGAGACGTGGGTTTCAGGCGTAGGGTTTGAGACCTGGTTGAAACACTTTTCGGAATTTGGTGGATCTTCAAAGGAGAGCCTCAGAACGTAACAGCCTCTGATCTCATAGTGCATACCAAGGTACAACAGCCCCAAAAGTCTAAATGAGTGAAGGCATAGAGTCAAGGCTATAAACTGTGCTAACCCCTTTTTCTTTGCAACACTGCCCAAACACGCACCTAATCCCTATGAGAAAAATCAACCGATGGACACCTGCTCCGCCACATCCGGATAGAGTTGAAGACCCTGGGTAAGCGTATTAGCAAACACGAGCGCAGTCTACAGTAGCACCCATAAAGAAAAGACGATGAGTTATGACATGGCTACAACTTGACTGCCTCCCAATCCACTTCCGCTGAGATCAGGACTTGGAGGGTATTGCGGAGCCTGTTCTGTTGTAATCCTGAACCCCTCGGCCTTAAGCCCGAAGTCCAAAATCCTACATTCCACACCCTGCCTACATCCAAGCCCCAGACTCTAAGCCCAAAATTCTACAACCCTACACCCTAAACCCTAAATCCTAAACCCTGAACCCCAAACCCGTCCTTGAGCTCAGCGGACTTGCTAGCCTCCGTGGACTCACCGGTAAGCACCTTCCACCGCGATTGAGTAGAATTTTGGGTTGAGAGTTCCTGTGCTTCTGGCTTTGGGGTTGAGGAGCTTGGGGCTTACGATTCTTCCCTAAACCCTAAACCCTGAAACCCCAGGTTTAGGTTGTACGATTTAGGGTTTGGGGCTCAAAGTTACAGGTTGAAGCCTAATGTTCAGTGTATAAGTATTAGAGTAGCTTTCAAATCCTAAACCCTAAACCGGTAGGTCGGTCCACTCAATAAGCGGCTCCACAGTCTCGGAAGATAGCGATCTAATGCTATGATACTTTCCGAGGTTACTGTCTTGTTGTCGGGGGGAAAGCTCTTGCGGCAAGTTCTAGGTGCTTGCGGTGCTCAGCAACTCTGATTGATGTCGAGCTTCCAAGACGGGCAGGAAGTACCCTCAGAATGCCAGACGACATGACTGCTTCAAACTCCAGATGAAGCGACAAGGGCCATAGATGTGCACGCAGCCCTGCACAACGCTACAAAACCCTGCAAGATCTCATGGACACCCTGCCCACACCGCCCCATGGCACTCACATGCAAACTAAGACCTATGGAACACTGTTTTCTGAAAGACACCAGGCAAGTCTGTCTGTGTTATCCATACTCGTATTTTTTTTGCTATTATTCTTCCTATTACTATTACTGTTACTATTACTATTACGATTACGATTCCTATTACTATTATTACTATTACTATTACTATGTCTATTACTATTACTATTACTATTACTATTACTATTACTATTATTATTTCTATTACTAGTACTATTACTGTTACTTTACTATTACTACTAATACCACTATGATTACCATTAGTACAAGAGGCTATGAGACTACCTGGCTCGAACTCGCCTTTGCCCTACCTGGCACCCCAAACCTCAAACCCTGACCTCTCCTACCCTCAAGCATTACTCCCTGAGCCCTAGGCCCCAAACCCTCAACCCTGAACCATAAACCTTGAACCCTGAATCCTAAACCCTAAACCATAAACCCTAAACCCTGAACCCCCTGTAATTTCTGGGAACCTGAGAATTGCCCCCTTTTTTCCTCTCCGAGAGAGATGGGGCAGTGGGGTTCAGGGGTTTAGGGTTGAGGGGTGTAGGGTTTAGGGTTTATGGGTTTAAGGTTTATGGTTTGAGGGTTTGGGGTTTTAGGGTTTTAGGGTTTGGGGTTTTTGGGTTTGGGGGTGCACGCTCCTAAGCCGCATTCCACTTTTTTGAAAAGGCCTGTGTCCTCTTGTTAGGATTTCAAGTTAATATGAAGCCCTATTCTAGTTCTGAGGCGCCCTACATTAAGCCCTAAATAAAGCCGAAACATTCCGCGTACACCCCCCATCAAAGTCGCAGTATAACCCCGGATAAACCAACAATGCCCTAAGTAATACCTACGTAACCCCTATAAGTAACCCAAGATAATCCCTATATCATCCTGGAACCCTAAACGCAAAATCCTAAACCCTAAACCCCTTAAATCCTAAACCCTAACCCCTAAATCCTTGACCCTAAACCCTAAATCCCACACCCTAAACCCTAAACCCTAAACCTTAAACCCTAAACCCTAAACCCTACATAGTAGTTTCCATTTTCTTTTCCATTATCCCCATATAATCCCTGTATAACCCCTATATAATCCTTATATATCCCGTTAAAGGGACCTACCCTAAACCCTAAACTCCCTACATACCCAGAACGGGAGCCAGGCGCAGCTTCATTGGCCGTCAGGTCCATGGCTTCCAGGACGACCATGTCTGCTGGCACCTAGATTTGCTTCAGTAACTCCTAAAGTGTTTAGGGTTTAGGGGTTTAGGGTTTAGGGTTTTAGGGTTCAGGATTTTAGGGTTTAGGGTTTTAGGGGGACCAAGGCATTGAGAATTTTCAGGCGAAGCGCTGAGTTACAACAAAGGACTGATTGC